TGCAAGTTTTGTTTTTGTACTCAAGTCATGATTGTAGAAAACCCTGTCTTTTAATTTCCAGAATGCTCTTGAGGCGCTACTAATCCTGTGCTGAATTTCAGAGTCAATATTGGCCTTTTCCGAAATCAAACTGCCAAGGTAATTGAATTCCGCCACATATTCGAATAGTTCTTCTCCGATTTTTATAGCATTGTTGTGATCTACCGGGGGAGTGCACATGATTTTAGTTTTGTCGATGTTTAGCTTAAGGCCCAAAGCCTCGTATGCCCAGGTATATGTGTTCAACATTTCTTGTAATTGTTGTACCGTGTTTGCAACTAACTGTATTTGTTAGGAATGAGTCGCTCAGTGATCCATGATGTGACACTCTTGACTTGTTGTTATGGAGGCTTTTACACACTGTAAGAAATTTGTTGGGTACTCCGAACTTTTCCATAATTGCCCAAAGCGCATCTCTGTTCACAGAGTCGAAGGTTTTTGTTAGATCGATGAATGCAACATAAAGTTTAGACTGCTGCTCTTTTACTTTTTCCTGTAGTTGACGGATGGAAAATATGGAATCGACGGTGCTGCGGTTGGTACGAAAACCCGTTTGCGATTCTGGAAAGATTTTTTCTATCTATTTTCTATTTATTCTAACGGTCTACACAATTTTGTCAACAAAAGAAGAAAAAGCCAGTGGCGCACATATTTTTTTTAGAGACCTATAATATGCACGTTCTTGGTGACCCTTGTGCACTTATAGTAACTTTTACCCTCAAAATTTCATTCGAATCGCTAAAAGCACTTGAAAGAAAATTATCGGTCTCATTTTCTCTCAAAAATCGGTCTCATTTTGAATTTGGTAAATATCATACGTTATATCTAGTGATGAGATAACTCGAGCGAAAATTCGCTTGAGTACTCGATTATTGAAATAACCGACATCGCCCCATTATGAACGAGCAATGCAAGTGACGAGTTGCGAGCGACGAACGCAATCGATCCTAGAATGAAATAAATTGGAATCCGATTTTAATGTGTCATACTCGATACAAAGCCGACCGAATTTTCTACATACATTGCAGGTAGAAAATTTATACGTTATTCGTTGCGTATGTAAGTGACAAAATTTTACGACCTATATGGACAATGCTTTAAAGTAAACTAAATCAAGCGAATTACTCGTCGCTCGTCGCTTGCTTCTTGCAACAGTAATTGATATACCCATTCATCACCGAAAGAATATGTGCTTTGCGCACGCAACTTACTGCTTGGCGTTACGAGTTGGGAGTACAACAAGCGACGCGCGACGAGCGAAAAACCGTATTTTTAATTACGAGCGAAATTTCGCTCGAGCGGTTGCTCGATTATTGAATTCGCTTAAAGCTCGAATACTCAATTATTGAAATTAATCTGTTTTTCCATCACTAGTTATATCCGCGCAACTCATGTCATCCACAGAATCAAAACCCTCAAGTGGCAATGGGCAGGACACCAGGCAAACAGAACGGACAACAAAAATTACAGTATGATACCCACGAGGAATTAAGTGACCTAGAGAAAGACCCAACCTGAGATGGGATATTAGATGTGATATAAGAAAATTAGCAGTGATAACTTGGCCTAGAATAGTCAACAATAGACAATAATGGGCCCAACTACAGAGAATTTAAATATGTGAGGGGGGTGAATAATAACGGTTACACCATAATTGGAAATGATTGAATAAACTGAGAATGATGATGATCCACAACTCACAGCTCACCATCAAATATTTTAGGAATATTTCCGCATGGAGTAAGAACCGTTGAAGTATATTTCCAACAAAATTGAAAATTGTTTAGAAAAAATGCTGATATTTTCAAAATATGTGTAAAAATAACTTGAATTGTGCTAAAGCATAATCTTTATTAGAAGTTTAGAAATATGCCGCGGCAAGCAGGATAGATTAAGTTTGCAGAAGCGAGGTCGTTAAATAGGTTTCAAAAGGGGTAGTGATGATAAAATTGTTGTGCGGGTGTAGCGGACAAGCGACAAAAAGAAACAATAATTTATTTCGGTAAAAGCAGTTTAAGCCTGTTGAGGCTGATGGCTAATTGGCGCACTATGGCCACGCGCATATAGTTTTCCTCTATTTTTCACCGCTAGACTGCCGCGATAAAGCAAAAAGCGGGAAGCCGGTGCACTATGGACGCACACTAATGTTTGTTTCGTTCAAAGTCGAAGCACAATATAATCATGTTTCAAATACTCGGCTTTCTGTGCTCCAATATTTTTTCAGCCACATCCCCAATTGACAGAAGCACCTTTACCCACAATTAAAGACACTGTATCTATTAGAAATATGAACCTAGTATCTACCATGGAATATACGAACCTGTACTGACTTGTAATGTAACAATCAAAGAGATTCGCTAAAACGAACAGTTGAGTGAAGAACCGTTGCTGTTTGGTTTGATTTTCCGGCATTGTTTAGCGAATGCTCGTATTACAAAGTGCTACATTACAACGCTCGGGTCAAGTCAATATCTTTTATACATCAAACGTCGCTTGAGCGTCGCGAAAACAAAGGGTGCAGGCGTCACTCTCAGAATCTCATTGACCAATGAGATCTAATATTCCGATGGGCAGTGAACGAAGTGATGAAACGACGCGGTAGAATAAATGTTATGAAATACGACAACACGTGTGGAATTAACATGATACGTATATTTAGCATATAGTGATTGGATTTTGTTTAGAGAGTAATTGATAGGTTTAAGCCGTTTTAATTAATTCGCCAATTTTTGTCCTTTAACATCAAATCCATGGCGAATCGTTTTTGGAATGAATAAAATTAATGAAAAAATGATAAATTTGTGAGTTAACGTGCACATGTGCACATGTTCTACAGCATTAGATATAACTAGAATTTTTGTTGCTTAGTTTATGTATTAAAAATGTAGTTTAAAAGTTTAAAATATACTCTAAAAAAAGTCTACTAAAACACTAATGACAATATTAGTTTGTTTAATTTTTTTTTAAATTGTTGGATCTGACACTTCAAATGATGCAAATATAAATATGTGTCTGTTAGAATTAATAAACTATACCATATGGGGTTGAACCATAAATAATAAAAGAATATACCCACTGAAAAAAAAATTACCATATCAAAGTATTTCCATATCACGTATTGTTCCTTCAAAAATTTAAAATAAAATTTATTATAAAAAAATTTAAATTACCAAAGTAAACTAAAAAGGTAACTCATATTAATATCACAACATTATGGAATCTTTCGTGACTCAGGACCAATTTTTATAAATATTTTAATTATTTTTCTAACATCTATTCATTTAATTTAACTCAAAAATATTATAGTCATTTGCTTTATTATATCCAAACATTGTTTTAATTTCTATATACTTAGAATATGTTTCGGTCCAATTCAGCCATGGCCAACTAGATATACCTAATTATAGATTGAAATTTCCCGCAGTTGAATTTATTTTATTCATTAAAATTAATTAGTAAATAATATCGAAACAAAATAAAAATATTACAGTTTAAATGTTACAAAAAGTTAATACATTTCTTAAAGAAATTTTTAGCAATTAATAATAACTATAATTAACATAATGTACATTTACAATTATTATTGGAACTGATTGCTACAATGTTAGAGTTATTGACAATGTAATTCTATTTGCAGTATTTTTACATTATTGTGGTAAATTATTAAAAATGCATAAATTAGATGAATTTTATATATATATGCGTAATTTAACTCCCTTTAACTGCTATTTTTTGATAATTTAGGTAAGTGTTAAATTTCAACTAGAAACAGTAAAATTTGATTTCTTTCCATTTATGTAGTAACCCTGTAGTACCGTTATTTTCTAAATATTTAACTTTTGAAAGTTTTTTTTTTGTAATAAATATAACTATTCCCGCCCCAAATATATTATTAACATATTCACTAAAATATTCCCTTAAAAATCATTAAAAACGATGAATATTTTAGGTAATACAGTTAATAATATTCACTTTAAATAATAAAATCATATAATTAGTACAGAATCATAAATAATCTATTTAGATTTGCAAAAAATGTTAGTTCATGCATTAACCAAATCGATCAATTATGCAAATGTTAGTTAATTTTTAAGAATAGTAAATGAATTTTGCAAATTTTACTTTGCTTCTCAGTCGGCAAGGAGAAAATGAATTTAAACATAAAAAAATGGAAAAAAGGTTTTATGGGAATCCCCAGCATACATACAAATGCTATTATGACTGCTTTCGTAAAGCACCTATTTTGTTTGAAATTTATTTGTTTACTTAATAATAATGTTTCACGCTACCCTAGTGAAATAAATAAAAAATCGAGCATTAGAAATACACAACAGTGTGGTTTTATTTGTCCAGTACTTTGAAGTGAAAATGATAGATTTTAAAAATATTCGGACTTGCTAGACAACATTTTGGCGTGAACTTACAGCACAGTTAAAAATGTAATACTTAAAAGATATCCTTTGTAAATGTCCATGCTTATTTGTAAATTTTTGACATTTAAAATATCTCACGGTTGCTAAAATTTAGATTATGAAAAAGACAAAAAAGTGAAATTCGATATAAAATGTTCTTTAAAACTTTATGTCTTCTATGAAAAATGAGATAGTGATTTGAATCAGAAATCATTGTGTAAAGAATTCATTAAACTTTGAAACCAAAGTTAATGAATTTGACATTTTAGAGGTCAGTTTTTGACAGTATGAAAATGCCTTTGTTCCTACCTCTATAATGATCAGACCATCAGTATTGAGAAGGGTTATAAAAGATAATATAGATCCTGAAAGATATTCAGGATCTATATGAATACGTGTTATGGAATAATCAAGACACGTATCTAAACTCTGTAAGACGTCTCACAAAATCGGATAATACTCTAAGACATATACGGCTGTCATTCAGACTAAAATTATCTTTGTCCGGAATTTATTGTCGTCTAATATAGTTTGTATATCCTAGCTTACCTTTTCCATTCAACTCGCTTCCCGAATCTTCCGACGGTGGCCCAGGTGGTGCCCTCAATCCGGGACCCAGCGCGTGAGGATACCTCGGCCGACCCAAAGGCGAGAAGGCCCCTTGCATACCCAGCAGCTGTGCCGCCCCAGGAAACTGCAACAACGGAGCCCAGGGCGGCCTGGGAGCCAAATGCGCCGCAGCCGCGGCAGCGTATATCTGGAGCGGCGGAGGCAACACCCCCGACTCCAAAACCATATTGTCGTTTTCCGTGGACACTTTGGCGAATAACCTCGACCACACTTCTAGTCACTTTACCGACATAATCGTTTCTTTCTTCAAAAATCAATTCGTTTAAGGCTTGAACAAGGCCAGACTCCTAATCGACATCCAGTTTGTTCCCAGTTTCACTACCCCAATCACCCGCGTTATCAACATAAACCAAACAAGTCTATTTTGAATCGCGTATTCTCTATCCCGATTCCGAGAACTGACTCGACATACGACCAACCTCTCCAAGCGACACTGGATTCGGTTTTAGGTCGGCTTCGCCGGTCGGTTAGAGACTGCGAAGTGACGTGGGCGGCGCTTAGACCCACTTTAACCAATCGGGTGCCTGCTTCGCGGGGAAAAAAGAGACGCCTATGGCGCGGCCACGCCCCTCCGGCCCGTCGAATATCATTACGGCGAAATTTAAGGTGGTGTCAATATGTTTCGTTATTTATCGTCGGGGGATTGATGGAGCTTTTTGGCGTAGTTGAAATTTAGCTTTTATTATTTTTTGATGAATTGCTGTGACGCGACGCTTTTCGCCTCGCGGCGGTAATTACCGGTGGGGGTGGGGGGCGGTTGTGGGGGTTGGTGGGCGCGACGTAGGGCTGTTTATATAATTAGAGATTTAATTTAATGCGGCCGCATTAATTATTTTAGTGCCGCGTGTGAAATTATTTGGGCATTGATATATCGGGGCGTAGTTTGTATTAACGTAATTGATGACGTGGGGGTTTCGATCGTGTAGATACGAGGAAAAAATGGCGTTAGAAATTATTTATTAAATTAGTCGCGGCCGTGAACCGCTGAAAATAAAATGTAAGAGAATAATAATTTATGGAGGCCTATTGTTATTTGCGGGAACCGTTCTAAAAAAGGAAACGCTGTAATTACGATTTTAATTTAAATTGAAAATTAATTTGTAAAATGCGTTTTGTAATAATTAGAAAAAAATAGTTAGCTACAGAACTAATTATTATTTTTTAATTGTTATAGGTAGATATACTGGGCACGAATATATCTAGATAGTTAATATAAAGTCTGTTTTAAGTAGAAACCTAGTAAGTATTAGTCTATTAACTATTGGAATATTCAAGGAATATCATCAGTAAAACTAGGTTTTTTTAGTTTAATTTTTTTGTGTGTCTATTATGGTAATAAGTAGCGATGGGAACTATCGAATGAATTAGACTATCGAGTGGTTAATGAATGAATGATTTCAACTATCGAATGGTTTTATTCGAATAAAATCATTCATTCATTTGTATACTAAAGCATATGTGACAACCTCCCCGTGCGACTAAATGGTTATCGTTGAGCCACGACTATCGAATGCTTTAGATAAATGCAATTTAGTATTCGTTTGATTTTTGTATGCGTCAGTGCATTATTAGTTCTTCCAAATTTTTATAACTTCGCCGTATAAATACTGTGCTATTTTTGCGTTTATTAAAATAGTTAAAATACTAAAATAGTAGTTATTTTTTAATTTTATTTATTGACGATTGTGTGCATGTGCAGGTGGTCAAAATTTTTCCGAAAATTTGTGTGGTTTTCCGTAGTCCGATCTTTCAGTTATTTAATTTTATATGGTATATGGTCTATTTTGGGGAATGTGAAATTTTGAGAAGTAGCAATTTTTAAGAGAGATGAGATGAACTTACAATTAATTTTAAAAATACATATTTGTATTTTAGATGTTTTAATAATATGAATTAGTTGAACTTAATAATCATATTTAAGTAATGTGGTTAAGTAAATGGTTATCGAACTCAAACTATGGGATGAGAAAATTAAAATGAAAGTTTTGCACGTGCCAATTTAAAAAAAAATTAACGATGTTTGTATTTTGTTTATGCTAATTCTCTTACATGTATTTTTTTGCGAAGAAATATTTCATAAGTAAATGCCAGTAAAAGTAAATATAATTTTTAAATAGTAATATAAAGCACCTAATATAAATAATTTTGATTTCTAATTTTTTATTTACATTTTCCTTCCATTACACTGCATGCTTAGAAAATTAATAAATGTTTATATTTCATGACTTTAAAATTTGTTGTTAATATAACAAATTAGTTCTGTAATTATTATTATTTAATAAACCAACGTTGCCACACACAAAAAATTTAGAGACTATATTATTTTTAAATAGGATCTAATATAAATAATTTTGACATCTAATTTGTTGTTTATATTTTGCTACTACTTAAAAAAAATATTTATATTTTTTTTAAAGTGAAATGATTTTAAATTTTGTTGTTAATAGGTATAACAAATTATTACTGTTATTATTATTTATTAAACCAGTCTTTGCTTAAAAACATTAAAAATCATTTTCCTACATCCAAAATAACAAGTATTATTGCAGTGTAACAACAGAATATTAATAAAAAAAAATGCAGAATATATAGACATACTATCCCTAACTAACTAAAGCCAAACAATAATATTCTTTGCTAATATCAACTAATACCAAAATATGGCAACAGCGCCCCTTCATAATGTATTTTCTGTGTAAATACTAGCACTTCAATAAAAAAAAATAATGTGTCCTTATCTATATCTGACTCCGCAAAAATCAAAGATGCCGGCTTCTTTCATAGCATTGCCACCGACCGCTGTCAGGTTTCTCGGAAGAAAACCTCGTCGCCGGGCGACAACTAAAATTCAGTTAATATTTTATTATAATCGATCCTGACGAATAAATGAATTTCATAAATGAATGAATTTTATAAATGAATGGTTTTTGCTGCCGAATTACTAGAATACAATATTTCAAGGCAGATGACGGATCTATTCGATAATTTTTATTCGAATAGTTTTCAATGAATGTTTTCTTACTAACTATCGAATTATTCGAATGAATTGCCACTATCGAATGTTTCGATAGTTCCCACTACTAGTAATAAGTCCAAAAAAAATTGAGTCTTAAGTCATTTCTAAAATCAAAATGATTTAAATCTTAAGTCATTTTATTTGAAGTCAAGTCATTCTTGTAAAGACTTTTTTATGACTTAAGTCTATATTTTTGACTTAAATTATGATGATCTGCAAATTAAGTCAGTAAAATTACTTAAATCAATATAATTATCCTCAAGTCGAGACAACCCGAAATCAATTTAAATACCACGTTTTTTAAATGTTATAATATTAATTTTCTTGTATTAACAACAGAGTATTAATTTATTGTAGATACAGATAAAACCGGTTAAAAATAAACCAGTTAATTTTCAAAACAACTACAAACACAAAAATATGTTTTTTTTATAAATTTTAACTGATTTTGTAGTACTTTATCCATTACAGATAGATATCATCGAATAGATGTGTATTAAAAAATGGTGATGTATTTTGATCACTATGTAATATATCGATAGCATAAGCTAAGGGCTAGAGGATTTTAAGACATTCTGTCAGGGAGTCAGGGGTTTACTTGAAAGACAACAGACTCACTACGCACGCGTAACAACAAATAGTCAAAACCAGTTCCGAAAAACTAACATTTTATTTACTAGAGTATGGTATGGAGAATTGCTTTTTTATTCTGCTGCTTGGCTGCCGCCTATAACAGTTTAAAAATAAATGCTGCTGTTAAAAATTGATAATAAAAATATATAAAAATCTGACTCAAGTCTTTTCTAAAAAGTCTTAAATCTTTTTAATCACTTAAGTCATTTCTAAAAAGACTAAAAACTTAAATCTTTTTGTATTTCGGAATAAAGATTTATATCACAAATCATTTTCATAAAGACTTAAATTTTAAGTCTTAAGTCAGCTTTTGGAAAAATGATTTAAAATGAAATGACTTAAGTTATTAAAATGATTTAAATAAAAAGAAGACTTAAGTTTTCCGTTAGCTTGCAGCTCTGCTAGAGGGTCAAATAGGTGTACGTATCTTAGTAGCTCTTTACTTGAAAACAAATCTAACTAATAGAATACGTAAACATTTCTTGGAAAATATTCATTTAAGCGTAAATTGGGAAGCCCAGATCTCCCTAAATTAAAAATAAAAGTTAAAATACACAAATTAATTAAAGCTACATTATTTAAAATATTAATAAATCGTCTTTATTTAGCCCCATTTTTAATAAAATACAATAATGGCCAAAGGGCAAAGTTTAGCAATTAGCAATTAGCTCTGATCAATATTAACTTTCAATGCTATAATAACACAAAAATTGTACAAAGTATAAATTGAAGACAACTATAGGTAAAGTAAAATTGTTAACAAGCAACAAAAACTTACAGTACAAAATGTATGTAATTAGAAAAACAAAAAGGCAATTATAAGAAATATAGCAAATGAAACAACTATATTTGAAAAGGAATTAAATTAAAATACGAAAAATCATATTACTTATAAGAAAAAATTATATAGGTATCTATAGATATGATTTATATGCAAGTTTACATATCTGTAACCCAGGATCAAACTATGTTAAGTAAAAAAAAACACAGTTTTGAGAAAAACGTATTTAAAGTTCTTTTCGGAAGTTATTTCCTAATTACTCGGTTATTTTTAAACCTATGATTGTAATATTTGGTATATGACTAATTTATTTTGAACTTAAATTAAATGTAAAAGAGTTTTGTAAATAACGTATATGCCAGTTTATTTTAAGAATCTTATTTAAAAACTAAATTGCGTATCATAGACTAAAGAATTATGAACAATATCGAAAAACGCAAATATCTCGGAAATGGTAAGTAGCTAAACAATCAGTGAGGTCTCTACGGATAGAGCTAGTGCAGCCCTATATTCGCCTTATTTAAACTGTGTTTCACAAATTTCCAAAAATTTGACTGGTCAAAATCGAGCTTTTTTCACTTATTCCAAATTGAAAGATTTTTGGGCATTCGATACATTAGTTACATTTTTTAATATCCACACTTTGTTTTGTCTTTGTTTAGTTTAGTTTTTATTAAATGAACCGTGTTTTATGTAATTGCCCAGTATTAGAGCAATATTTAACAAAATTCGACATTTTGGGGAAGAATTTTTATTTCTGTTAATTGTATTTTGATGAATTTTCTTTTCGGGCAACTATCTTTCTGGTTAATTTTCTTTTCGATCAATTATTTTCGGGTAATTATCTTTCGGTGAATTGTTTTCGGACAATTTTACTAAATCCGTTGTATTGCTTATGCGATAAAAACTAAAAAAACGCGAATTATTTATGCCCAACCAGCTGTTATCGGTAATTCATGAAATTTATAGAATTATTTAAAATAACGATAGCTAATTTTTTTCAACATCACATTCTAAACTAAACTCAGGGCCAAAACTTATAATATTACGTAAATATATCAAGACAACCGCTTTGCACTGGTGATAAACCTGTCATT